CTATCACAAAGTGACCAATTTTAAATTCATTAAAAAAAAAATGCACCAATTATATTTTTTTAACTTTTAATAAAAATCTGTTTCTTACATATAGTTGAATAATTACCTAGATACAGAGATAAGAATTAAGTGACGTCTTCTATTAGATTGCAATGAATGTCTTTTTTCAGTATACGTATCTGTGTATATACTTAATTGCCAATCGAAAATATACTGAGTAAGTCATATAATTCCCTTATTCAAAGCCTAGAGACTAAAGCAAAATATAACAAATGCTTTTTTAAACATAATATTTCTTTTGTAAAACGTGACAAGAATATTGTGTAAGAAAATTGGAGTCATTTAACTTAAAAATTCTCCTCTTCAGACCAGTATTGAAACCACTTCAATAACCTAACATTTAAAAGTTATACATTGATCTCGTTTAATTCTCACCTTAACACAACATTATTGTTTATTTATGTAATATATAGCTCTCAGCACATATGCTTAGAACTTAGAAACATCTTATGAATTTAAATAGTCCAAAAAATTAAAAATTTCTATTGAAAGATATATAGTCAACAATAGGCAAAAGCAAATTTATACAGATTTACCATATATCCTTTTTGTCGCAATTTGGTGATGAAAGTAATTGCAACATTTTATAAATTTAAATTCTTGTTAGTCTTACTCTATCTTAGGGTAAATACGAGCTAACATTATTGTTTACACATGCCAAAGCTCATGAGAATATTGTTTCAAGTTTTTAAAAAACTTTTAATTGTACGCCTAACCAACGCATTAAGACCACGGTCGGTGTTGGCTTTTTTTATTAAAGAAGAAAAGTTATTTTAACCATCGAACTTTGCATAAAATTTCTTAAAACTCACTGTTTTTTCTATGAATGTCTTTTTAAAATTTAATGTATGTTAATATATTGCTTTTGATACTCATTCCACAACGTAAAAATTGCTTTTGATACTTAATCCACAATGTATCTGAATATATGTTGCAGTATTGCGTAAATTATAGTACACTCATACCACACTGTCTCCGATAAAGAAATTAAATTAAAACATTAATATTCTCTCGTGAAAAAATTTTAAAATTTGTTAATACGCACTTGGAACAGTTTTAATTGTTTTGTTTTAAAATAATAGTTTTGCTACATCTGCAACTGCAACTTTAGTGAAGAATATATTAATTTTTCATTTATCATATGTTACAGTACGTTTCTTTTTTTTTGTGCAAATTGTAGTAAAGAACATATGTTTATTTTATCTTGTGTTCCTACCTAGTAGTTAAAATTCATGGTATCATGTTTGTTTAACTAAATACCGTAGAGTATTGAAGTTTAATTTGTTTCACCAAATTTTTTAGGGTCTGTACACTCTGTATTGTGAAACTAACAATTAGTTGAAGAAAAAGTTTGATTGCATTGTTTTTCAAAAGATAGTGCAAAAGATAGTGCCAGAGTTTAAGTAATTAGTTTTTCACAAGATTTTTCTGTATTTTACCATATTCAACGGAAATATTGTGAAAACAAAATCTGAAATAGTACATAAATAATTTGTCATAAAGGAGCAATAATATTTGTAACATAGACATAAGAGAACACTTTACGGTTAAAAAAATAAGATATGTAAACGTTTAACTGCATTGAATGACAAGTTTATCTGAATTTATAAAATTTTAGATGTCTACTTGTTTGAATATGATAAAGAAAAACTAGTTAATAGAAGTATTATTTTTTTACTGCTACTAATAGGGTAGTTTACGGGTGAGCAAAAAATTAAGGAGTATCTAAAGCTTTTAAAGAGGATAAAAAGAGGTGAGAAAATCTTTTATGAGGGTTAACTTCTACTAGATATAATAAATTCTTGGTTAATCTTGTTGAGCAAAAATGCTTTTGATCTTTTGGTTGCATACTGATCCAAAAGACACCGTAGATCAACAATATGCAAATATTAATTATGTGGTGCACTTTACTTAACTAACTTAACAATTTTAACTGTAGCAGGTTTGTCTGAATAGGTAGTAAATGCTCTCTGTTTTTAGTATAGTTGTAGACCATTTATTTAACGTATCTACTACAAATAAGTAGATCAAAGAGAAACAATTTTAGACGATGGCGTTTGCTATGTGGAACATGAAGAAAGCCATAAATTTATATATGAAGTACAAGAAGGTAGTATATGTTATCTAAAAGAAACTACTACTTTTGCTTTACAAAATATTTTAGTTAAACTATCATGCTTTAGCTATTTTAATCTACCAATCGACTTGTTAATAAGTAATTGTACTAACGGTCTACAGAATCATATTTTTATGTTATTCTAATTAAATTCATTGTATTTTGACATTAACTGAATTACTCTATATAGGTGATATTTCGATGGAATTTTTCGTTGACGAGTTAATTGAGATACAATTTATAGTAATTGTATTTTTTAAGGTTTTATGAATAATGCTATACAATTTTTTGCTAAAGTTTCAACATACGTTTTATTGTTTAAAGCCATTGATTTCTGTTTTATTGAAAAAAAATGGTTGAGTAGGTGTAAGAAGCTCTCGTCTTACTAAAAAAAATTACATTTTGAGAACGTTGAGAACAAGATGTTATACTAGACATTAGGAACTAAAATTAAAGTGTTACATTCAAAGGAAAAAGTTTGACACTCTTTTGATAAATTATTTGTTACGAAAATTTCTTATAATAAAATTAAAAACCATTTTTTTTGATATTTTTGATGGAACCAGGCAAAAATTAAATACCAACTCGATATAGTACATTACGATACTTATGCACGAGGAAGGCGATTGACGCACGCGTGTGTTAATCATCTATAACCTCTCGCACTTGTGGTCTATACAACTTTATGACACATTGTGCGCTGGAAACGAGATATAAGTATTAAACTACGAGATATGTAATAAATCTAAAAATATTGGAATTATCATGGTGTAAATACAACTGTATTGTGTCTACACCATTAGAATAAAATTATCGTAGTGTACAAAATTATGTTATTTACGTTATTATTTTGATGTTTAGGTTGTCAACATGAGTTTTGTAAAAATCTTTGATGTGCTCTCAGATAATGGTTTATCTATCCATGTTCCAGTCCATAATAATAAAATTAGTACTAAAACCGTAAAGTTACTATTTTTAGAGAAAGCCTTTGGTTTTACAGGTGTTGTCAATGGTAATATTAGTGGGGTCAACTTGGCCAATGACTATTTTTGAATGTTGGACGGTGTTGAAGAGTATACGATTGTTTTTGCTGAAAACCGTAGTGGTTATTGAATGTACATCTAGTGTTCCCTAACTTAGTATTATTAAACATGTATTTTTACATATTTTAAAATTGCAGGGTCTATCTAAGAGGAAAGACAAAAGCAGTTAGTCCGAAGTGTTATGAAAAAATATAGGGACAAAAAATTAAGTACCAGCAAAACAAATACAACAAAAGTAGAAGTAATTCCACGGTCACCAACGAAAGAAGTCCATTTAAGTAGGATGCACCAAAAAAGCAAGGATAAGTCGTACCAACAAGTCACTAACCCGATAGGAGAACCATGAGTATTAAATTTGATTATAAACAAGGAATACTCGTTCAGTGATATCGTAAAAATATGCATAAAGGCATATAAGAATCCGTACAGTAGGGGTTACTTTGAAAACTCTGTTATAATGCTTGGAACCTTTCAAGGCGGCAATGTTGACAAGTTTGTCGATTTTGATGACGAAAATTGTGACTTTTGGAGTGTGATTACTGAATTAGTTAACCTGAAAGAAAAAAATTTAACTAAAAACAAAGAAGTTCCAAAAGTTGTAAGTGATGTTGTAGAAAATAAGAAAAAGATAAAAACAGCTTTGCAGATTGCTGACAGTTTATTCAACAAACTGAAAGTACAGCATAATCAAGTTCAGAACAGCAAAATCTTAATCTGTCTATAAGTAGAATAAAAAAGAAAACATTTATGTAAGTAATCGCCTCACAGAGTTATAGTTAAGCCCAATTCTTCCTTTATTATGGCACCAAATGAAAACTGCAAGCACTATTTATGAATGTCACTGCCATCAAACATGTTTTTATTTACCATATCTTTGAAAAGATTGATAAAGAAATCTGCAGAGTGACTTCTTAACTAATCCTAGTGGGATTCAATACGTTAATTGTGCACGATTTTTCCCTTATAATATATAACTGTTTTCACCAGCAAACTTATCAGCATCATCAGTACGCAGACTAACTTCTAGGAACTAAGAATCTAGAAACAAACCCCAGTCGAAGACGGCTCCTATGTAACAAGCTGTGCTACAAACACATACACTAATTTTTTTACTACTGTTACAAAAATACAATGGACAATACTTTATCATATGAAATTACATAATAAATGTACAATTGATTTTTATGAAAAAATTAGGTTTTTCCCTATTTCATTTCATTTTATGGTATTTTACAAAATAATTTTCCGTTGAAATCATACACTTACAATATGTATTTTTAAATGTTTTTTTTTTTATTATAAAAAATGAGACTGCCTACAACAATTATAACTTATCAGGTGTACAAATTACAAATATAACATATAATTCAGACAAAAACTAACATGTAATACATGGTATGGAGTTTAAAAACTGGTCTTGTAAGCGCTTGCCCGCATTCGCTCATAACCACGTTACAAACCTTTTAGTCACAAACATTTTCACTTGGGTGCATTTTATGCCAAGCCAAGAAACAAATATAAAAAAAATTTTAAATTATATAACTGCACATCATGCACTTTTTTTGATCGATTTCAATAGAAAATGCATTTGTCAATTGCTCACATTTATATAAATTACATTGTAGTTACGAAAAATTTACGTGCCTTATCACGGAATAACTCACGTTAATAATTATGTGCAAAAATAACTTGTGTCGTATAGGTAATTATTTATATCATGTAATCGCTTTCTGGTGGGAGTAAATATTCCAGACGAGAATTAATTTATCTAAAAATGTTAAATTAAAACAATGTTATTGGTGCAGTGTTGTAGTTGGGGTCACAAATTTTTTTTAAGTATAAGGAGGAAATTTTTTCTACAAAAAATTCAGAAACAGAGCCGTAGCGTCTAATGTTATATTTTTGATAAACAACATGGTAGTCCGACTGACTGTCCTTCGATAGAACGGCTATCTGCATTAGCTGGTTTCTTATGTGAGCCACGCGGTCATCGATGAGACTGAAATTTACGATTTACATAAATCTATATGTATTTACATATGATCCACGATATTTTATTCGTTGTGTGATGTTCGACTGTACATCACGTGATTATGATTTGAACGGATTCAAATGATATTGTTCAGGTTATAACAATGATGTAGGTAGTATTTTTCCGGAAATGATAAAAATTAATTTTTTTTTTTCTCTTAGAAAAAAATAAAATAGAACACAGTTGGTAGAAAAGTTAAAAAAACTTTAGTAAAACGCATAAAATAAAAAAATTTGCTGAAAATTCGTGTGATGTTAATATTAAATATAGTGTAGGTTAATACAAAGTTAATGTGACCGAAAGATATAGTGCTCAGAAAAAGCTCTTCATTATTTATAATAAAGTTTTCTGATGAGATGTTTTTTTTAATTTTCCAGTAAAAAAAGGAAAAACAAATATTAACTATGCATTTCTCAATGGCCCTTGCTAGTTATAAATATAATGATCTGTTTTTTTTTTTTAAATAATTTCATTTTATAAATAGTTCCGTATCCATTAGTTTGCTTTTGGTTGCATGAAAAACACACATTTGAAAGCAAACCAACACGTATAAGAAGTACTCACCAATGATTCTTGACCATGAGATTATGCAGGTATATTTGATCTCTCCAATAAGACCAGGGTGGATTTTTCATTTCCCCATCGCTTGTACAATGATACAAGCAAAGGGCTACCTCGGCACATATAGTGGCTAGTTGCACAGCTGACAGTCGAAGCATTTCTTCGTGTATTGAAGACAAATCGATCTGCGTGTTTTTGAGAAGACATTTTATCATCACTACTTTTGCCATTTTACCAACTCATCAGTTATAATCATCGAAACATAAAATTGTGTAAATAATTCATGTATTATAATTACCAGGTAACTGCCACAATAGTACAAGCGCTGCATTTCAACTGATGTAAGTTCTCGGACTTTGTCAACCATGACAATCAGTAAAGCAAAAAGCGAAAAAGGATCTTCAAAGGATAGATCAAAATTTAACGCCACCAACATTTTTTTCTCACTATCCATCAGGGGCTTGGTTGCTCCTTGGTAAAGTGCGGTAACACCTAGATGTTCGAGTAATTGCTTTGCCTATACGTAAATAAACAAAAAAAATTGATAAACATACAATTATAGAACTATTAAGTCTTTACTGTTGGATGATTTTTAAATTTATGTTTATAGAAGCTTTTGTTGAAACAATTAACTTGGAAAAAAAAAAAAAAACTAAAAAAGAGTACTCAATCACAAATTTTTTTTATGTACATTTCTTTTAAACTTTTTTATTACAACAGCCCAACAGTATAAATATTTTCTGACCTTTTAAGTAAGTAGGCCTAAGGCTTTTTAAATTATGGCAAAAAAACTATCCAAGAAACACCCGATTCTTTTTGAACAACTTTTTTTCAACTAATAAATAATAGATATGACTTTTTTTCCTAATAAACAGAAAAAAATTTTTACAGTCACAGGGAAATTCAAAATTTGAAATACTTTGTTTCAAAATAAAATACAAAATTTCCTTTAGATAACAAATTTACTCTTGTGTAATATATACTTAATACTCTCGAGCTAAATACTACACTCACTTACGTTAGGTACATCGTCGTTGATGAGATCTTTTTTTAACGCAATCCAAAGTGCCGCTAATGCAGTTATTTGCAACTCATCCAACTTTACTTTCTCAGCATCGACGAAGAAGTCAAATATTTTGATGGCCTGGTACGATATAAACGACGGGTACTTCTTGTACGCCTAAAAACGACAAGAACTTTCTATAGACACAAGAACAATGCATGTAGATATTTGTGTGATACGTGCTTGAAAATATTTATTTGAAATCTTTACTTTCAAGAGTTCAATTTCTGTTCACGTTTGATGGTCCAGATAATCTAAGATTTTTATGATTTTAATAATTTTAATGAAATTTTGAAAATTCATTAACGAGTTTACATAATACGCTTAAGAAAAAAAAACTCAATTTGTTTTATGACTATAAATCATTTAAAATTATAATTTGAAAGTCAGTCAAAGTTAAAAGTGTATATTTTCTAACATTAAAAAGTTCACTTAAACTGACGTTTTTTTCTCTTACAAAGCACCCACAATTCGATTATAATTTTAATGTTTCGCAAAATATTATTGTTCAGTACGACAAAAATGTAATAAATTTTATTTTTCATTCATGATTTTTTAAACATTTTAAGTAGTTACTAAAAATTTAGGTCTTTGGTAACTTATTAAACTTTTAATGAATAAATACCTCCGTGTCATACAACTAAACTGATTAAGGCGAATTAAATCTGTCCTGGAAATTGAATAATTGAGGCTTTCGATTTACAATACTTAAATTTGTAGCTAATATTTATTTTTTTTACTACGTGTACAACAATAATCATTAAAATAAGAATAATAATAATGACAAAATATGACGAGACAGTGTAGTGCATAAAGTACAACATATAATAATAATGCACCATAAAGTTATAGTTATCTGATATGTAGTTGGGCTTATAAACAGTAAAATGTATGAAACGTAATACAAAAAAAAAAGATACCCCAAAAACCAACACTCACCACGGACTTGATCAAGTACTTAACGATCAGCCGTCTCCGGGCAGTGGTAATGCTTCTCTCGAAAAAATCGGCTGACAACTCCTTCCTGCCGTGCAATTCTATCTGAAGCTTGACGAAGTCGTCCATGTAACCGATGTTGTACGCCAATTCCGTCGTCAATGTGTCGTGCAACACCCTGTGGGCTTCCTTTTTCCCGCATACCTTAACGCGCTGCAGCTTGCCGATCTGAAAACAGTCCAACGATCGTTTGAATGGCTAGGGGTGAGTTTACCGAAACAAAAACCCTCACGCACATTGACAAGGAAAAAAAGGCACCTTTTCCGGCTGTTCGCATTTCTCAGGTGCCCAACTGCTGCTGCGAGCACCACTACGATGACGTCGATACGCAGTTTTATCGTTTACCACGCAGTCTTGGAAGACAGAGAAGCAGGGCTTGAAAAAAGCCCTGCTCCCGTCCAGCCTCGATTGTTCTTGTTTCGCAGCATTGGTTTCTGAGAAGAAAATAAATTTAAAAAAACTTGATTGCCTGTGCCAATGCCCATAAAGTGTAAAGCTCGCATATACCTATGAGGGGTTTCCTAGCTCTCTGGTCGTCCGAGAGTTTTCTCTCCCGAAAGTCAGACGTCACGAAGGACACTCTGTTCTTGAAAGCAGGTGCTCCGACGACGATGTTCTCCTTGTCATCGCTTCTGTGACGCTTTCGTAGGTTCATTCCGAGAGTTTTTGGCAAGAGATTCGACGACGATGCTGAGTTTGATGCACCGGGGCTCATCTTTGCAAACTGATTTCTGAGATAGCGAGGAAAATAGTTTAACTTACGAAACTTACTTATGCGCAAGAAGTTTGTACGAGTCTCGCGTGCGAGTGCTCCTCTGACACTGGTGAGCTTTGCACTGACCGTGTTCTTGTCTTCTCGTGATAAATTATTACCTGTGGGATCAAAAGTCTAATGTAACGTGTTTACTATTTCGCCAGCAATGAAGAAGCGACTGTTTCCGCGAATTTTCGACCGATACAGTGTTACGTGTGTTTATTGCTTGAAAACAAGTTAACCGAAAATATTTGGTTTGGCTTTCGCCTGGGGAGAAAAAAAATTTGTGTGCTTTCTCCAAACTTTTTTCTAACTGTAGTTTTTTTTCTCAAGAGGTATTTTTATTACAGTTTTTATTTTTGTCGTTAATTTTCAACGATTTTCGTATCGAGCAGGTTTCAACAATGTTTGATTTTATTTTAATTCATAACTATTTTGTTCAGTCAATGTCTTTGATAACTTGGAATCAACGTTATAATTTAAGGTGGTTAGCCAGTAAACTAAAAAGTCTCACGAAGTTGATGAAATTACGAGAGGTTGTTATTGATTTCCTAAAGTACGTACTATCAAAATTTCATACTCCCTTAGCGTGAAAAATTTTGCGAAAAAGCTGTATGAAAATTATACTTACAGGCTGGTTGAGCATAAGAACGTTATGGATTTTCACTGAATTTATATAAATATAAGTGTAATAACTCTCACGGCAGTGAATTGAAAATAAGAGATTTGTAGATGAGATCACGAGATTTTTCTTCTTTTAAAAGTATGGGGATTATCATGAATTTTATTAAGATATTTAACGAAGATAGTGACTGCTTATGGATTTATTGTGAATATGAATGCTAAGTTCAAACTTACATACCACTAGAGCGCGGAAGATTCAAAATTTAAATACTCTATCCCTCTTTGTTTACGAAAGGCTATTTGAGTTTGTGAACTGATAAAATCTGTATTCAAAATAAAGTAAGTACTAAAGAAACTCACGTTTCAATATGTTTTCGATGAATATATATATATATATATATATATTGCTTATGATTTTAAGCGTTTGTACTTGAGGATGTAGGTATGTATGATTTATTACCATGAAATGCAAGAAATTACATGTGATACAAGGAATTTTACGTTTTATAAATAATATAATATTTAATCATTGTAATCAACTATAACTAGTGTCTAATATTTTTTTATTAGTTGTGACTCACGCTTGTCCATTAATACTTTCACAAAATCGTCGCCACAAACCGTCTTTTCCATTTTTTTCAAAAACTTCTTGCATACCTTGCTTGAAAATACCAGAAATAGCCGTTTTATTAACAGTTCGACAGTATAATATCAGGAGAGGACGTGAGAATACGAGGCACAGAAAAAATTAAAGAATTAAGTAATAAAATGAGGTATACATCACACTCAAATATCAAAGAAAAGAATAAAAATAAAATTCAAATTAAAAACAGTATCAGAAAGAAATAGCCGTATTTTGTTAAAAGGATCTGAGAGGTTTACTAAGGAAGAACAAAAGGTGGAAATACTTTAAAATTAGCCAAAATTATGAAAAAATAGTCGTATATTTCACGAAAGAGATCTGAGTAAGGGTGAGTGGAACTTAGTTATGGACAGACTTTTAAGAACTGTATAGGGGAGGGCGGGGCACTACCGCCACCTATTTTTCGATGATTATGAAAAAAAAAAAAATGTATATAATAATGTATAAATATAAATTACTTAGTTGATAGTCTGAAGAATACATATCAGAGTTGGAAAGTTAATAAATATTTAAACTTTAATAATACTATGCTAAATCACGGACTCTTTACACAGCATATAGTTCATCATAGTGGGGTACTATTTGCTTTAGGGTGATAACAAGAAACGATATGTAAAATATGTACCAAGCGTAGAACTATCTGCTCTAAGCTACTTATTTTTTTCATTATTATATATTTCCCATGCATGCCACACAGATGGAATAATTAAGCATTTTAGACAAATAACAAATGTTCATTAAATTGGAACAAAAAAATGTTTACTTTGTTGTGAACAGGATTTATTTTCATTACAGTCTTATCATCGTTTAATTATAGCTAACCAATATCACATCGGTACCCATACTTAAATCATTGCATAATATTTATTTATTTTCGGTCATATAAAAAACACTGATTAATATAACAGTTTCCTATTTAAAATCTACAACGTAACTAATTTTTCGACTAATTTTCTACGATTCATAAGGTTTCAATTTAAATTATTGTGTACTTCTTTTTAAATTATACTTGAAGCTTTAACTAAATACTTCCAATAAGTTGAAATTACATTAATTGTAGTGTTAATTTAAAGTCTTAATTGTAACAGACTGCAACTTTAATCTTTATTAAAAATTCTTTCGATTAGTAAGTCATATTGCATCATTGTGTATCTGTATATTTTTTTTTATAAGAAGAGATTCCCTATGACTTACATATCTTCAGCAAACAGTGAATCACAATCTTCGAAAATATTATCGTTTACGTTCTCCATAAATGAGATAGTCCCTGAAGCAACACAATCAATAATTGATTCATACGTGTTTAACACTTTTATATATTTTGCCAGTGTTGAATTGACATTTTCCATTTTTCGTTTCAGCGATGAAGTAATATGCGAAGATATAGGTGTTTCAAGACGTATATTAGACCCCTTAAAAAAACAAATAGGTTAGGTAAATTGATGAGTTGAATTTATATTTTTTAAAGAATTTCTGAAGCCTTTATACACTGTCAATGAGTAGTATTCTTCCTAATGAATCTGTAGCCTTGAAAAGTTCTCAAATCAAAATATAAAAAATATAAAGTTATATTTTTTTATTTTTGGTGCAGCATACATTACGTATGGCATTCGTAGTATAGTACTGTTTAGTACTCGTACTTTAACAAAATCAAACAAAGTAATATTTACTTTTGACTGGTATTTCATGGAAAACTCACATCAAATATATTTATGCCTTGCTATGTAGAAAGTATATAAAAATATTAGGGCAAAAGGCAATATTAATTTGTTTGATTTTGTTAAAGGACGAGTACTAAATAGTATTATACTACGAATGTCATAAAAAATGTATGCTGTGCAAAAAAAAACTTGATCGTTTTTATATTTTGATTTCAGAACTTTTTAAGGCTACAGATTCATTAGGAAGAATACTATTCATTGCCAGTGTGTATAAAGGTTCCGAGATTCCTCACAAAGTATTAACGAAACACATCAACCTTACCTAACCTTTTTGTTTTGTTAAAAGGTATTTTGATGGGGATATCAAAACGTTTCAGGAAAATACCATTTTTTAAATGTTTATTTCAAAAAACTTCATAACCTTAGATATTGCTCATACTAGGAGTGGAAGGTACTGGATGGATACGAGGTTTGTATAACATAGATACAAAGTCTGTACAACGTAGATACGGTGATCTGAAATGGTCCAACTAAATTTCTACTTAAAGTTGCTCATATGGAGATGTTTTGAATAAAATGAATGTGTGTAGAGATTATTTTGAACTAATAGTTAATAAATTCACGGAACAAAATAAATTTTCCTAAAAAATACAGTTTCAGGATTTTTATTTATGATGCTTTTTTCTTTTTCTTTCTTTTATTATACTACTCTATCGCATGATTATTAAAAAATTTTTCTTCAAGCCAATTACATAAATTCAATAATTCTTCTCAATAGAATTCTTACATAGAATACTTTAGTAATTTTGTACGCATCCAAAATTCCGAATGTGTCATTTATTCAACTAGCTTTCATTTTTATATATTTTCTATGTATTGATGGAATTAAAATATTCCTAATAACAGTTATTTCATAACTAAGTAGTTATCACTGTTATAAATAATTATTTACTATGGAAATACATACAAAAACCTTAAAAGCGATGTATAAGTAAATTTAAAATTTGTTTTTATAAAATGATTTCTCATTTAACTACTACTTAAAATAATAGTTAGTAATGCATGATTGTAAACTTTCCGAATCACTGAGTTAAATGAAATTTAGGTTTATAGCTTGTTACTCAGGGCACCCCGAAAAATAATTCACATTAAAATTTACATTAATATGCACATACTATTTAAATCCAACCTGAACTCAAAACACTAGATCATTATTTTTGTAGTATTGTTGTATGTTGTTCAAACTATATTGTTCGTGTAACTGTTATCTCACACTGTAAAGTAAAAAATTCTGGTAAAAAAATGGATTTCGTTTTTTATAAAAAACCAAATTGATTCACTCTACATTTTTAGTGTGGTTTTGCCATGTAGCAATCATATGGTTTTTAAAAGATAACTAATAACCTATTGTTTTCATTTTAAACTACCATTTGCTGAGTGATAAAAGAGTTGTTTTTTTATTAACATTGCTAGAAACTTATGAAGTCTCTACTTATTTAAGGTCAATTAAATATTTTGATAAGTTTGTCACCATGTGCTAATTTAAAACAAAAACTATACATTAAACTTTCGAAACAAACTAGTAATCTTACAACGTGGTAAATTCATGTGGCTTTTTTTTCAATAAAAAACACAAAGTTTTTAGTCTCCTTTATATCTTATTTTATTTAAAAATGTATGTAACATTATCTTGAAAATTTTGAAAAAATTATATAACTCTTGTTATAAAATCATACTGTAAATAAATGATAATACTGTATAGAAAATTAAAAAGTTTGCTAAAATTTCCGATTGATTTGTGGCAGCAAAATATCAGTGACAGGCTCACTATTTAGTGCACAATAACTTTTGTTCATTTCATCTTTTAAATTACAACTTTTGGTATGAAAAATCTTAAAATTTCAATCACCCTACTTTTATAATAAGTAATAAGAACAACTGAAATTCTTAAAGCAATTTCAAGATTTCATTGTTGTAGAGCTACCTAAAGTTATTTTTTCATGCTCTAAATTAAAACTTATAAGCGAGTAAAAATAGCAATCTAAAGTTACTTTACTTTTTTCTCAAATAATTTTTGTAATTTCTTGTTAAATCACTGAATGTTACAGCAATAATAAGAAGAAATAACAGTAAATATGAGTAACTTTATGAACTTATTTCCCTTTGTGTTTCAATGGTATCAATAGACCAACAAAGTTTTTTTTATAACAAATTTCGTTTGTAAGGTACCTTCTTTCTTTTTTTTTTAATAGCAACATACATATGTTACAAATGAAATAGAAAATAACATAGATTTGGGTAAAAAAAATGTAAAAATTATTGAAATGTTGGAGCAAAAAGATACATACTAAAATCAACAATTGATTCAAATTAATGTGTGGAGTGATTTTGTGGAGGTTTAGTTTTTTTTATAATTTTGATCAAATAGAAGTTCAAACTTCCCAAGACTTGGATCTTCCTGAATAATTTAAATATAGCACATATTTATATGTTTGAATTACCATAATTCCAAAAAAATTAATAATAAGTTTTAAGTTAAAAAATAAATTAATTTTAAAAATCCGATGAAATAATTTTTTTATGTAAGTCTCAATTCATTTTAAATTAATAGACTAATAATACAAAACCATGTACGTGCACAATGAAATATAAAATTGCACCAACGAAAAATAAATTCTAGAAATCTTAGTCGATAGGTTGCTGCGTACAAGATCTCTGCTACTAAGAGAAAAATAAATTCCTCATTACTCCCGCGTACCACTGAATTGATGACAGGATAAAAATCTCAGTGCTTCCTTCGATCGTTTTCAATCTCATTTTAAAAGTAAAAGGTAGGGTCACAGGCGGAGACAAAAGGAA